GGCACCCGTTACTCAGGCCTTCACTCAGGCAACTGCCTTCTGTATTTGCTCCAGCCAGAGCACTGCTCTTGTAGCTCCTTCCGCCCCCTGCCTCCTCCTCATAGCAGGGGTCCCACCCTGCCTACTTGGCACCTGCATGTGTGCTGCCCAGAGGCCTGGAGCAGCTAGGGGGCAGGGCTGCTGCCAGCTTTGTCAGGTTAATTTGCATACTCACTCCTGATTGGCATCACAATGTGACAGTCAATTTGGATGTTTCTCTTTTATTAGTGTAGATAATTTTGCAAAAATGTTCATTCTGAGTTTTGATGTCCTAATTTTAAGTATATAAGAAAGAAAGATACTTAGATTTCAATTGTATTAATTCTCAAACCTAAGCCTTGGGAGAAAGGCTATGACACTGGAAATAGACTAAGGGTGTGATGACTTGTCTTTGAACACGCTCCATCTCTCAGAGAGGAGCTTGCCATTCTCTCTGAGCCGCACACATGTAGTAGAGATAACGGCCATTCCCTGAGGCAATGTGTCCCATCACTTAGGAAAACTGAGGCAAGTGGTCACACAAAACATAGTGAGCACTTTGTCAGTGCCCAGGGGTGCATGTCCTTGAACCAAACAACTGGAGTATGTCTGAAAGAAAGTCTGGACCCCATTATCTTGGATTAAGCTGACCTTGTCCTTTCTTGTCTGCAAGCTAATCTGGTTCTGCCATGTGAAGCTACACTATTGGCTTCCCAGAAGTTATGACTAAATCCTTTTTATTTTTCTGACTCTTGTCTACAATGACACTGCAGAAAAAACAGCCATGCTATTATACCCATCTCTTGTCCCAAAGTCTCCAACATTAGGGACATTATGAGAAGTTCTAACATTAGGGACATTTATAAGATGTTCTCTTGGAGGGATGCTTGCCTGGCCATGGAGAAAGATGTTTGTAACTTCACTAGAGACCTGGTGCATGAAAATTTGTGCACTTAGGGGGTCCCTCAGCCCAGCCTGCGCTCTCTCACAATCTGGGACCCCTTGGGTACAGTCCTTAGGCCTGCCCTGAGATCAGGGCTTTCCCATCCCCTGCTGCAGGCAGCTGGCCCCACCCCTGCTGCTGCCACTGCTTGTCATCTGTGCAGCGCTGTACCCTCTCCCCTCCACCAGTGGCCTCCCTCTGTAGGCGACAGGCTGGGCTGTGATGGCTTGGCTGGCCTGGGACTCTTTCTTTGCTGGGGGGTGGGACCAGCCCTTCGAGGGGCCATCTGCCTACCTGATTATCCCTAACCACTCTGACTGCCTGATTGCCCCTAACTACTTGCTTGCAGGTGGGGCCAGCCTGGTGAGGGACTGTCTGCCTACCTGATCACCCCTAACCACTGGTCTGCCTACCTAACTGCTTGCTTGGGAGTGGGGCCAGCACTGACTTCAGGTTGGTCAGCCTCCGGTTGTTACTGGTCATTTCAACCCAGGGTTTTTCTATATTAGGAGTACAGTAATAAGAAAGGTGAGCTGTTGGATTTAGATAAAAACTGACTTGGATCTAGTGGTTTGGCCATACCCTAGCAATTGTCTGTAGGCATAATGGGGATACTTTTGGGGAACTAATCTGACCTTCTGATCATCTTCTATTTAAGAGTCATGCTTTGAGTTTTCCCAGTTCTGGCCTAGAAACTGTCCACCTAAACCAAAGTCAATTTTCCTCCTGGGTCAGCTGTGGAGATGATCAAGTACATTGCTTTTGCCTGTGTGCCAAAGTGGAGTGTGACGTCCATTTAGTTGATCACAACTAGCAGCTTTATTTTCCATTGAACTATCACAAAAATGTTAGACTGCAATGCTTATAGGAAGGGTAGGTATTGTTTCGTGGAATTTAATTTATGTTTGTATGTATGTATATATTGCCATGAAGTGCAATGTCATATATTGCTTATTTGGAGTTAGCGTTTAAGAAGTTCAAGAAATACTGAGCCAGCACTTGACTTTGATCTGTAGAGCTTAAAAGCATACTAACTGTTTAAGTTGGAATCCTGGCTCCATCTCTTGCCGGCTGTGTGACTTTGGGAAAATTACTTAACTTCTCTGTGCCATAGTTTTCACATATTTCACATATGTAATATGAAAATAAGAGCTGGGTCCCCAGTTGTGGATCGTGTGAGAGGCAACCGATTGTTGTTTCTCATATTGATCTCTCTCTCTCTCTAAAAGAAATCAATAAAAACATTTCAGGTGAGGATTAAAAAAAAGAATATTAACATTTGTATAGTGCTTACACTCTTGCCTGGCACATAGTAAGTGCCGTATAAATTGCATATGTGTGTGTGTGTGTGTGTGTGGGAGCAAATCTGTTCCACAAGTATCCTTTTATAGTGTTTTACATACTAAATCAAGACAACAAAGTCCCTACCTTATGAGTATTTATAATAAATAAGCATATGTACTCAAAAAAGTTTTATGCTCTGAGTGGCATTATACTGGGATATTTTAGAAAGTGTGCTTCAGAATGAGACTGCTGGGTTCTAACCATAGTCCTACCACTCACTTGCTGTGTGCCCATTGGCAAGTTATTTGACTTTGCAGACCCTCGGTTTCTTAATCTATAAAGTGGGGCTAATAGACGCTAATAAGGTTGCTGCCAGGATTAAATGAGACCACCCATTGACGATGCTTAGGGCTCAAACTCTAATAGCTATTATCATTCTTCTTGTTAGTAGTTCAGATCATGTCATTGCCTCTTATTCCCCTCCTGCTCTTTCACGTGAATGGCTCGCTTAACTCATTTCACTTAGGCTGTGGCGAATCAGCCACATAGGGGCTCAGATAAAGGCTGACACTGCTGAGTGGAAAAGCAATTGTGCAGCCTAGGGTTGACTCACACTGCCCCACTGTGCTCTCTCTCCAGCCTCGCTCTCACAAGTAATCCAAGTCACTTAGAATCCTCCTTTTGCCTCAGCAGGTCTTCGAAGCCCCGCAGATAATTCTGAAGTGTCACAATGCAAGCCTGAGAGCCCAAGTCCATTTTGCAGTACGACTGCTATGGCTATGGGGTCACGCCATATTGCCTCCCCCTTCATCTTTGGGAGGAGATGGATCAGGACAAAGCACGCCGTCCAATATGACGAAGCGTTTGGTATGGTGTGTCGCTTTTAAATACCGCGACAGCATAAAAAGGGCTCATTAGCTGAAGGGGATTTCAGCCCGAGTCCTTCGGTTCTTAAGGACCTTGGGGAAAACTGTTCTGACAAAGAGAAATCTAAGATTCTCCAGGACTCAGCTAGAGGACCTGGTGACTGGTTTTGCCGTAACTCTCTCCTCTTCTCCATGGCACATTGTTCCTGTAGCACCGCTCAGCCTTTAAAAATTGAAAGTGGAGCTATATTATGCAACATCAATCTCTTGCTTGACCATAAGCTCCTCAAGGGCAGAGAACCTGCCTTATTCATCTTTGTATCCCCTGCAAGCACCTGGCACACATCTCAATCAACGTCTGTGGAATTGAATCTGTTTGAATTTATATCCTGGGTCACACTGCCAGAGCTGGGGATAGAGCTGGAGCTGAAAGCCAGTCAGGAATCATTTATTTCCCACTGCGGCACTGAGGGCTGGCCTCTGAGTAATTCAAGTCACCCCATCACCCCCAAAGCTGCCTCCCCCAGCCCCAGAAAGGGCCTTAACATGATTCTATTGGTGCCTTTGGTGAGCGTTCTTTCTTCTAATTCTGAAAAAGAAGGAAAATGAAGCTCCCAGTTCTTCCTCTTGCTGATGGATAATCCAGGGCTAGGAGAAAGAAAACCGGAAATGGGAACTTTCCCCATCCTCTGATTAGCTGATTTGGGGGAGACAGGCCATGGGAAGCCACAGAGCCCTTTCTCATTCAGCATTGCCTAGTATTGGCACGGTGCTAGGAGCATCATTGGTCGTTCTCTCCCCCAGCCGCCCTTCCCAAAGGTACAAGTCTCAGACTTAACATTTCATTCTGTAAACAGAAATAAAGACAGAAAAATGTCTTTTTGAAAACTCTCCATGTGTCTAAGCCAGGCAGTCTGCTAAAGATATATATATATATATATATATATATATATATATATATATATATATATATATATATATGCTCTAATTCTGCTCATAGTCACAAAAGTATCACTGTCTCCATTTCCAGTTAAGGAAACAGGTCCAAGGAGCTTACATGAAGAATCCGGGACTGGAGGTCAGCTCCGATTGGACCCACTCACTATCCCACGAAGTTTCCCCCTTTCTTCCCCAAAATACGGGTGGGTGCGTGTGTGTGCGCGCGTGACAGTATGTGTGTGTGTTTCCTTTTCTCATCCAAGTCGCGCTCCTTCTCCTTCTGGTCAGTTTCCTCGGTTCTACTTTTTCTAAACAAAGTCCAGTCCTCCGAGGTCTCACCGCCTCCTCGGGGGCGCTCCCAGGACCGCCAGCCACGCCTCCGCTGAGCTGGGAAGCCCAGCCTTGGGCTCTGATCCGGGAGGCCCGCGCGCCTCGCCAAGCGGCCGCGGCCCCAGCGAGCCAACGGGACCCGGCGCCCCGGGGGGACCCGCCGCCTCCCTCCGCCCGGCCCCGCCCCGCTACCTGACGCCCGTGCGGCCCGGGCGCCCAGACCCCGCCCCCCGGCGCGCCCGCCCGGCCATTGGCTGCTCCGGCTGCCCGTCTCCCCGCCCCGCTCGGCCCCGCAGGCAGGTTTGCCGGGGAAGCCGCAGTCCCGGCGGCGGGGGCGCAGCGCGCGAGCACCGTTCGGCGCCGCCGAGCGCGGACACCAGCCGGCATGTCCCCGCGCGCGGGAACCCCCACCGGCCCGTGCGCCCGGGCGGCTGCCAACTTGGCGGCGGGCTCCGGCCACCGTGCCCGGGCCATGTAGTCGCCGGCGGGGCTCCCCCGCAGCCCGGGAGCGACCAGGACCAGGACCGCGAGCCGGAGCCGAGCAGCCCGCGGCTCTCCCCGGAGTGCGCGCCGCGCCCCCGCCGCCCTCCGCGGGCACTTTGGGCCGGAGCCGGCGGGCGATGGGGGAGAAAGTTTCCGAGGCGCCCGAGCCGCTGCCCCGCGGCTGCGGCGGCGGCTACGGCGCCCGGACGCCCGCCCCTGCGGCGACCGCCGCGTCCTCGCTGGGCGCTTCCTCGGCGGAGTCCTCCTCGGGCTCAGAAACTCTGTCGGAGGAAGGGGAGCCCGGCGGCTTCTCCTGCCCGCGGCCGCCGCCGCCACCGCCGCCGCCGGGCGGCGCCCTGGGCCCCCGGCCGCCCGCCGCCTGGGCTCCCACCCGCGCGGGGCTGGAGCTCCGAGTCTCCGCGCCGCCGCCGCCCGCAGGAGCCGCGCCGCCCGCTCCCGGAGGCAGCAGCGCGTCCCAGGAGGAGCACGACGAGGAGGTGGGCGCGCCTCCCCCTGCGCCCGCGGGGTCCCGGCTGCCCGCGAGCCCTGGTCTCCACGCTGCACGCGGGGGGTTGGCTGGGCTGGGCTCACGGGGGCATGGGGAGGGGAGGGACCCCGGGCACTCCGTCCCGAGCGGGGCAGTGCCCGGAGCCGCCTGACCGTGTGCTTTTAGAACGTCCGAGCGGCAAACTTCTCGCCTTCTGGGTTTGCTGTCGTGGGTCTGAGGATGGATGCGATCCAGAGACCTGGCTTGACCCCACAACTAACATCTCGTTCTCCGAGTGGGTGTGGCTTTCCTTCCACCCCAGCGCTGGGATCCAGGGGGAGTGTGTTGGCGGGATGGGCGTGAGAGGGAGGGATGGGGCGTTGCGGGTGGAGCGGTCCGCGCGGTGCGTTTCAGGGGCGCCGCCTGCCCGGGATCGCCCGCGGGTGGTGCTGGCTGGTCCCCCGCGGCGGTCCCCCCCCTGCGGACTCCCAGCTCCTTCGGCAGCTTCCTTCCATTTGGACTGGGTGCCCAGATGTGTGTGCTGTATCGCCAAACTCATACGGATCACCTTCTTCCCGGGACTGTGCCCATCCTAGTTTCCTTGGAAGGATGTTGGTCCAAAACTTGCGGGTTGCATCCTAGACATTGACATGCACGTGATGGGTGTCTTCTGCCCGCTTTCCCAGGCCTCCCCGCCAGGCCCTTTTTCGCCCTCCCCTTCCCCCTCGCCGTTGGAGGGAGGACACTTCAGGAAGCATAAGGCTCTCCATGCCTTTAAGACTGTTTGCTTTGGACGTTTCTTGCGGGGGAAGTCATCTTGATGAGGCAGAGCCATAAATAAAACATCACACTAACACAGCCTCCTTGTGAAGTTAATTCCTCAGTGCCAGAGTGGTATTTTCCTTCCCTCCGATGGGATTAGCTGTAGTAAATGTCTCTTTTTTTCTATCAGAGATTCTGCAAGCTGAGGCCATTGCCCTGACAGTAGCCCCCTGAGACCTCAGCCTGGAGGCAAAAACTAGATCTAGCCCAACGTGAGGAGTCCAAGTCTTAGCCTGGCAGGGCCTGAGCAGACCCTAGCCCGTGGTGGGTCCAGCCCAGTCTCTGGCGGTAACTAACCCATGAGCCATCCCTGATTGCCCTGGAGGAGGGCAAGGATCCTGGTGTGGAGGCTGCTTTCTAGAACTGTCTCTGCTCCCGAGCTGTGGCAACTTGGGTGAATTGTTTCCTTCCCCTGAAGTTCAAGTCAATAATTTGACCAATGAACTTCAAGGTAAAAATCATTTATAGGCATACACATCTCCATTTTCTGATCAGGAATTTAATTTGGATTCAAAGCTCAGATTGGTTCTTGGAACCCGATGGCAGGAGTTAGGCTGAGTGCCACACCCACCATAGAGCTACCTGAGCAAACCACGGACTCAACCTAGGCTCCTCAGTGGTTGCATCTCCTTTTGAGGATGCCAGACACGTGTTTTCATGCTTTTTATTTTATTTTATTTTATTTGTTTGCCCTGTGACACCTGCCTCAGTTTGCGGAAACGAGCACCCTTGTCGCGGGTCAGCTGGCGGTATACCTTATATTTACCGCTAGATTCTAATGTACTGTCGTCGTCGGTGGAGAAGAGGGTAGAGTTAGCTGCGCTTTGTTTTCTGTGTAGCGAGGAGGGTGCTCTTGGGTACACGCCATGGTCTTGCAGATTCTAGGCAGGGGAAATTGGGAACTCCCCACTTTTGACCTGGATTCTGTAGCCGATTTATTGCCTGGCCCCAAGGTGACAGTCTTTTACATTTCCGGAAGTGAACATCAGGAGAGCTTATTTCACCGGCAGTGCCAGTGAGGATTGGTTGCTTGAATCTCATTGTGAAAAGTGGAATGACAAAATGACATTGTTTAATATTTGTGAGATCTCAGATTTGGGTGTAAATTGATACCCTGTTGTAATTTATTGTGTAACTTATGGTAACCTGTAGCAGGGGGTGCGGGGGAAATTGTCTAGAAGTGGAAATCTTGATTTGCTTTGAGAATTTTAAAATGAAAAACTGCGAGGTTCCCTCCTTTCCCTAACCCCCTCCCCAAACACACACCTCTCTCAGGTTTAGGGAAGTGATAGTCTGGTGGAAGGGATTGAAGTCCAGTGCACATTCGTTGGTTCATACACTGGTGATGGTATGGTACAGTGGTTCGTAACCTTTTGGGAGGGGGCTTTTGGGGAATCTAATGAAAGCTCTCCTCTCTCTGCTCACACACTCTTCCAGAGGTTTCAGTTTCAGGTTTCAGTTCAGTGAAAGACCTGAGCTTGATTCTCAGCTCTACCACTTGAACTAGCTATGGGATTATGGATCATTCAACTAACATAAGCCCCAATTTTTTTTATTTTATTTTTATTTTTTTTTACCTCTTAAGTGGGAATAGTAGCAATAGAGTTGTTAGACATTTTATACACACCATCTAATTTAATCCTAGCATAATATCTAGCATATAGCATTGAGTGTTAAGTAAATAGTAATTTTTCAAGTTCATTTGTGATAAAATTTGTGAAATGGAAGTATAAGCTTGGGCAGGCTTATTTTATTTGTGCATAATTAATCTGTATACTTTCAGAGACCCTGAGGCTGTCTATTCAATTCCATTTTATTAGGATAAGGTGGGAAACAGTTTTTATTTGTATCAGGTTGTATTATAGCAAGGCACTGGGTAAAAAGCACTAAAAGGTTTAAGTACAGTCCATAAAATGCAAAGAGGTTCATTTAGATTTTTTAAATTGTTATGTCTTACTTGGGAGAGTCATTGTTTTTCCAAAGTTATTTTTACACGGACTTATTGCATGAATTTTATAAAGCCACAAAATTCAAGTTTCTAGTATATTAGTACAGTGCTAGCTGTTTTGGACAACTTTGTTAAAGCTGTTTTCAATAAATCTGGTAATGTTTACAGTGTAATCTGATATATTATTTTACTGTCAATATTTGTGTAAATTTACAAAGTCTTGTAGACTTCAGTCAGCCCTTTAAGTTTTTGGTGCTTATAAACAATACTAGTGCCCCAGTGAACGGATTTGAGCAGATTGAAAGGAAACTAATTAGAAGAAATATTTTAATATTGCTATTCACCCTTTCTCTCTAATAGAAGTGTCAACCAAATTCACAATTGACAATGGCAGATTGAAACACTCATATGCAATTGCGCCAGTGAGAACTTTATATGTATTGTGCATGCATGAGTCAATGTAGCCTTTTATATATATAGAATAAACTTGCTTAATTAGACCTGCTTTCTGATTTATCTAAACTTTTTTTTCAGCCCAATGAAGCACCCCAACTTCTCTTTCAGATAATTGTCAGAAACACAGCAGTTAATATCAACACAAAGCAGATTATTATTGTAGATCACACAGGGAGAACAAAAGGTAAAATATTTAACTGCAGCAGTGTGTGACTATATTCTGCGCAGTGAGAAAACCTGAAGTCCACCATTTCTTCTTTTCAGTCAGGTCAGGTTTCTAAATTTTGTAAATCTCTGTTTTCTGTCTAATGAAAATAGAATTCTACCGTGTCTTCTGTCTACCTACTCCTGGACTTCCATGAGGACCAAATGAGATGAGGCATGTGAAAATGCTTCACAAACATTTGGTTACAGTGTAAAATGTTTGCACCTGGCTATAAAGAAAGTTGTGTGCCTGGGCTGAAGAAACTGCAAGGAGGCTAGTCGTCACTGGAAAGTGGAAGCAGGCATTGCTGTGTGACGTCATTACCTAGCACCCACAGCGACCGTTTCCGGGCTGGGCTGTGGGCCGTATTTTGTGCCATGGGGTCTTGGCAGCATTGGCTGTGATTTCGTAAGGTGTCGCTCCAGGGTGGTGATGGGACTTGTGTCCCACTTGGGGCTTGTTGGCACCAGGTCCATGGTGCCATTTATTTTTAAATGGCCAGTGCACATCATGGCAGCTCCTATGTTGAGCATCTGCTCCCTGGTGGTCAGTGCGTGTCATAGCTACCAGTTGGACGGACACTTAGCCTTTTAAATATATAGATATATGGTAGACCTGGGAGATTTTACAAGGTCCGTTCCAGACCTCCACAATAAAGCAAGTGGTAATCTTTTTGCTGGTGGAGGATCTTGTTTTCAGCTTGTAAAAAAAAAAAAAAATGCAATATCTGTGAAGTGCAATAAAGTGAAGCCAAATAAAAGGTGGTAGTTTTATATACTTAATGTCAAACACATGAGAGTTAGCAATGGCACATGATTCATCTGACTTTAGCACTTCTTTCCGAAGCCTGCGGATTTGGGGTCTGTGGGTGTTAAGGGGTGGTGGGCTGTGTTTCTGACAGTTTTAAGATCTGGATTGGACTGTTATTCCTCCGACCACATCTTGGAGCTTTGTTCTAGGCATTCTGCCCTGTCCCTTCCCAAAGAACCCTGTGATGACTAGTAAAATCCTCGGTGCTGTCTGCTGTGTGTCAGTAAACTCAGGGCAGTGGGTTTATTTCTGTACGCCTGGCACAGTGACTCTAATATATTAGTGGGGGCTCAGGAACTGAATGATGAGGAGAAAGTGATATCTTTGAATATAGTTATACATTTGATGGAAGGTTACTGTGTGTGTGTATTTAATTGCTTTGCCCATAGTGATTTTTTTGCTTAAGCTTCTTGATCTTTTATTAAAAAACAAAACAAAACAAAAACCACCTCAATCAGAGTGAAAATATGTGAACAGTTTTTCTAGGTAATTTTTAAAAAATATATATTTTATTGATTTTTTACAGAGAGGAAGGGAGAGAGATAGAGAGCTAGAAACGTCGATGAGAGAAACATCGACCAGCTGCCTCTTGCACACCCCCTACTGGGGATGTGCCCGCAACCAAAGAACATGCCCTTGACCGGAATCAAACCTGGGACCTTTCAGTCTGCAGACTGACGCTCTACCGCTGAGCCAAACCAGTTTCGGTTTTCTAGGTAATTTTTGAACCAAGTTAAATCCCTGAAGATCCACTCAGAATGCCTGTGAA